GCACCTATATCACTTAAATGATTCAATGTAATTATACAAAACTTTAATAATTCCATAACACATATTTTACATTATGTTTAGGTTTTAGGTATTAGGTTTAAAATCATTAATGCAGAAAAGTCCAACACTATGTTGGATGTACAGTTCTAATATGCCTATGAAGATTGTTAGTAGATCCTGCTTGATATAACAGTTTTATTTTACAATTTCTACATTCTGCCTTTGTGTTGTCTGTATTATTAAAATGCGTCCAAATGCTGCTTCATTTGTGAGTGCCTCTCATCTTCTGCTGTTCAAAATCAGAATCAGAATCAGCTTTATTGGCCAGGTTTGTAGGACACACAAGGAATTTGACTCTGGTACAGCGGCTCTCAATGGGCATGCACATGTCCCTATGCAAGGCAGCAGTGGGCAAGTAAACAATGTAAGGCTGAGAACAGAAGTAATGTGCAACCAAGCAAAGGAATGTGCATTAGGAATAAAAATAAAGTACTATATACACACAGTCTGGATTCAACAGATCGATATGTACAAGGTATATTTACAAGTATTGTACTGGGGGAAGGTATTGCACTGAGGACCCTCGTTCGCAAGCACTTCTCCTCTGTGCTGTAGTCCGTCAGCCCACCCCTCCCCTTTTAATCTGATGGTATGATCCTGTTCTGTCATCACACCTGACTGGTCACAGGCACACGTCTATCAGCGTAACATTCAGTCAGTATATGGAGTGCCTGTGGCCAACCGATGTGGCGCAAAGGTCACCTGTCATTCTGTGGTGCATCAACAACAACAACAACAACGACAACAACAGGAACTGGCTCTCATAGAGCCGACTTGTTTACAACCAACACATCAGTATTACATCTGTATGCCTGACTGCCCACTGAATGCTAAATTAAATTAACAGATTTAGGGTTGCTTCTTCTATTTTGTGTTTATTTTTTTCCGTGGTTGACCACAAAGTTCTGCCTGTTACTTTATGATGAACAGAATTATTAACGACACTGATTCTTAAGTAACTATTTACATCCTCCCTCAGTTAACTAAATGGTTTTAAGTTCAATTTCCTTACTGAAAGGTCTTCATCCATCTCTATATTAGAAACTAAATTGATTTAAGTAATCTCTCCTTTCTCGCACCAGGGCTACAACTGCTGGAACAGTGATTGTGTAAGTGGACAAAGACTGGTTTCACTAGCACTCAGCATCTATCTGGACACATTTCTTCACTTCAATCTTTTCTTCACTGTATTTCTCCCACACGACTTATGACATACTCAACACAGATGAGGAGGTGTAAACAGGTGATCTGGACAACTAGTTGATGGGCAAGTGCAACACGTGCCACTGTTGGCCCAGATTTACTAAGCATTCTGTGTCTCATTTGAGATGCTTGGATTACAATTGCTATTCAGCCAGTGATTAAACTCAGTTGAGGATCAAAGAAAAAATGAGAGAAGCCCCAAAATATGTTGGATGGGATTTTGACTGATTCATGGAGGATCAAAACAAAACACACAACCACTGCAATTTAGCTTAGTCATAAAATTAACATTATTCCTGGATGCTGACTTTTTCAGTATCTTAGAATTGTGTTTTTTTGTGAGTTTTGTGCAATGCTCAACTGTGGCAGCTGAGGAAATTTCAGGATGGGACATAACTATTTGAAAAGCTGCTTCGCCTTCTGTTGTATTTAAATCAAATTATCTTTAAAGCTTCACCCAGTTTTATTTTGTAAAACCTATCTTTTTTTCTGAAAAGAAACAAGTTCTGGGGAACTAACAATCAGTCATCAGAAACAGCCTTCTGGCAAGACCAATCACAGAAGCACTACTACCAGCACATCTGTTAGGGGACAGACCAGTGATTTCAGTTCCCCCTTTGTAACTGCCTGCAGTCCTCTCACCCCACATTCTCTCTTTCTTCCCTGTGAAGATCACATTAGCTCCTAAGCTGTCCTGACTTCTGAAGTTCCAGTTGGCCATTCAGTGACACAGCCTTCAAGGTAGATGTCTGGTGTTGGGATTATAGGATTTTAGGCCCATCTTACTTTTTTAAGAAAATTCGTTTTTGCTTAGCTGGTGGTTCTGTTGTTGTGGTGGACTTGCACCTGCTCACTTTCAAAATGTCAAGATGTGTTTGTGTGGGTGCATAGCTAGCCAGCTACTACTTTGATCTTATATGGCTAAAACTGCTTAGGAGGACATTGATGGGGCAAAGTGTAGTGATGTCGCATCCCATCATTGCCTGCACATGATTTCACCATCTCAGGGAGGGACTCCCATCTTCTGTGTATCACATACAATATGGGTGTAAAACATCCACTCGCATGAGAGCACTGCACCGCCATGCCAACCAGAATCCTAGAGCTTTGCTTCTGGGTGGTCACAGCCTCAAAAACTGACCTCTGTCTTTCTGATAGCATAGAAAAATGCAAAAACAAGCTGACCTCAGCTGGTGTATGCTGTGGGGAGATGGTGGAAGATTCCAATGCATAATTTCCTCCTCTGTTCAGTCAGCTCCTAGACTGATGATGAAAATGGTGGTGGAAAAGAAGAGGATGTTAACTTGAATAGACTTGGTGAGAAGATAAACAATGATGACAACACTGCCATTTTTATCTCTGTCCAGCCAGTGGTTAGTGGCAACAGTGACAACAGAGGCTCAGCAGTCGGTACTCAAAAAAGGATGCTTTTCCTGAATTTCTTTGGGAAACCATTCCCCTCAAGAGAGGGGTTCTACCTATATTTCCCCAAGTCCTTTGACTGTCTAAGTGGAAGAGCAGTACACATATGCAGTTGAGTCTGTCATCTAACAGTGTTCTCTAGAGTAGGTGTACAGTATGTATGTGTGTTAATAAGTTAGTTTAATGACTGCCTCACAAAAGTGTAGCAAGTCTATATAGATGGTTGTAAAGTATCAAAAAGACACTGGAGTGAGAGGCGCAGAGGTGGGCTGTTCATAGAAAGTCTGACTGACTGCATGTAGCCTTGAAATTGTCTTGTCTTAATTGGAGAGCTGGACTGGATGTTTGCCAGTCAGGGTTTTCAGGTTGGAGCCAGGGAGCAGGTTGAACAGGTTGGTGTGAGGACCAACCACACATTGCGAACGGCAGATTTTACTCTGCATTCAGAGGCCCTGGAGAGGTTTAAACACGTTGGGTGGCTGCCATCGCAGGTTGTAACAGCCTGCCACTTGGGTTTTGGTAGTATGCTTATTGGTCATCATTCCCAGAGGTTTATGAAGGGAGATCGGCAGTTGCAGCCACCACATAAACCTTTAGTTCCATCATGAGATTTGCCCTATGTTTTAAAGTTTCACAGGGCTGCATTTTATTGTAGGGCACCCTGCAACAAATAACCTACAGCTACACCATTCTACAGAGGGAAATGGTACAAACAAGCCTTGCTCTTCTTATTAAATATAGCCTTTTAATGAGAAATAGATTATTATATGAAACATTCATTTGAAATAAGCTGATATAATGATCTCAACAGAAAAGCAAAAAAGTATATAGGCAAGGTATTAGTTGCAAAAATGTTTGGACATATCCATGGATACATGTAAGCAACATTGTGGTAGCATAATGCCATATGAGTAAATGTGCTTGTTTTATGGACCTTGCAAGTGGCTCAAAACTAAATTGTAATGTACAGTATGTTTTGACAGTATAAAAACAGTCAATAATTGTCATGAATCGAATTAGATACATATAAGAAATGGCTGCCCTGTACTTTGTGCTAATGTACTCAGATAGAGGGCTTTTTTGAAGTAGTCTTTGTATTCCCTTTCAATACTGTTTCATTTTTATAATATTGTTCCTGTAGCAGAGTATTGTTACTGTAACAGAGTTATTATTTACAGACATATTGTACAACAGGGGACAAATATATCCAGTGTGAGTCCTTCTTTTCCTGTGGGTGACTTCCCCCACATACACAAACCACCTCAAGAGGAGAGATGTCCTCAAAAGGAGATGAAAAGTGTATATTCGATCATCATCTATGGTTTTAAATTCTGAAGATAATTCATTGTCTCTTCTGTGTAACATCTAAACGTTTTCTCCAGCTCTAAACATATTAAAGGGATAGATAACAGGCACTTAATAATAATAATAATGATAATAATAATAATAATAATAATAATGTTAGCATTTAATTTGGATTCTCCAGTGTTGATGCTGAACATCAGTATGCAAAGTGCCAGTTCTTTATTTACTGCATCTCTATAGGTTACAGGATTTGGGCCAATTTAGACATTTCTGGCTTGTGAGACTAAAATAAAATAATTAAAAAAAAATTAAGTGCTTCCATTAGCATGCAAATGTTACAATGGTAATGCTATGAATTTTAACATGTTTACAAAATTGCTACCATATTAACATTAACATATTAACATTAGCATGCTAATAAGCTCAAACCTCATAACTGAGCCCAGTAAATTAGTACTATACCATGGCGCTTTGCGACAGCTAGCTGTTGCCACTGTCTGCTCTCCAGAGAAGTTGGTGTGTGATTGTGCAGTAGCAGGATGTTACTGTCACCACAGCTACCATCTACACCTGAGCAGATGCAGTGGTCACAACACAGTACATTTTACTGCTATCCACTGATCCAGTGACCCTCTCTCTCCTTGCTGGTGGTGCTTATCTTGAGCCAGGGCTGCTGTTATATGTACATTGGAAAAGGCAATAGTGCAGTGACAACTGCTCACTTTCTCAAAGTGCCTTTACCAGTGATGGAGTAAGCACTCAAATACTTCACAAAAATAAAAGTAGCAATACCACAGTGTAAAAAAACTCTGTTACAAGTAAAAGTATTGCATTCAAAATGTTAATTAAGTAAAAGTACAGAGTTTAAGCATCAAACTATACTTAAAGCACCAAAAGTAAAAGTACAGTTTATGCAGAATGGCACATATCACATTAATGTATACTACTGGATTATAATTATTGATGCATTATTGTGTTCATCACACAATTTAAAGTATTTTACATACTGCTGGGTAGCGTGTGAATTTCCCGCTGGGGATCAATAAAGTCTTAAAGTTATACTGTATTTAGTTTTATTCATCTAATTTTGAAAAGGAACTAAAGTTATCGAGTACATGCAGTGCAGTAAAAAGTACAATATTCACCTCTGAAAAGTCCAAATATGCAGTAGCAGAAAATGGCAATACTATACCTTAAAATTGTCCTGTGTATAGTACAGTACTTGGGTAAATGTACCTAGTTTCCACCACCACTGGTCTTTACAGATGTTCAGCTAATTACCTGACAGAGCCTGATGATAAGGACTGGTAAGTGTTGCACTGTAAGATTCATTTGATAACATAAAGCTGAGCTGGGCAAGCTGAGCCTTAGTTGTCCTAAACTGGCCACCACATCTGAGCTACCCATAAACTGGAAATTGGTAGAGTATTTGTCACACTACCCAGTCAAATTCAACTGATTTTGTCGTGACACACCGAAAGTTATTTACAAAGCACCTCTAAAACATTAAGAGACTTTACGGAAAGACTCACTACAGTAAAATAAAACATAGGGCTAATCAACATCACACAAAGTCTGACATGATTCTGTTTGCCTACATTGTGACAACAATGTACAGAGATGACTATTAAAGTTGTGATTGTGGATGCAGTGACATTTGCAGCTGACAAAGCTACGTGCCTAGAACATTTGATCTAGGGCCACTGCAATTTCTGGATTAAGTCAGTGCCCCAAGCTTTGATCACTGTGTTCAAGAGGCGCTGAATCGGTAGAAGAATTCCAAACCTGATTTATGGTGCGATTGTTGTTGTACCATCATGGTTGTTCCTAAATATATTACACAACTCTGCTTACAGCTAATCCCACAAATAATCTTACAGCAGTTATTTTAAAGAACACAAAATTAAGCAAACAAAAACAAAAAATAAAAAACAACAAAACTACTTCAAAATACTAACAGACATGAAAGACAATAACTGTAACAGTGTTTTTTTTTTTCTTTAGATGTTTGTCTAAAAGCCTGCAACTGAGCTGGCAGCTTTTGCACTGGAACGAAGGACTTTCCAGTGTTTTGTGACAACACTAAGTATGAATTCTCCTCTTTTTAAGTTCAAGCTCATGTCTGGCCAGGGCAGCTAGGTTGTACAACATGAGTGACCTTGCCTTTGATGTTATCGACAAACAGGAAAGTAATGGACTGGAATTACAAAAGTCATCAGCAATAGTAATGTTTCAGCATCAGATTACCCAAATAAAGTGTGACCAACAATACATAGGTAGTTTTTCATATTTCAGTTTGATGACTGAGGGTGTTAAAACCAAAGTTACAGCTCTGGTAATGTTTTTAGCAACATGCAAAAGGAAATGTTACAATTCGTATTTGAAAAGAAAAAACAGACATTTTTACACATAAAATGCTTACAGATTAAACACTGTCAGAAAGGTACTTTAAGTTTTAATATGACTATTTCTTTTTAGTTTTTTTCCTGTGGCACGACGTAGAAATTCAATGGCATTGCACTATGATTCTTATCCAACATAATATCCCATCTCTTGTCATCGGCATTTTTGCTGTGCTCTTATCTGAAATCAGCTGAGAGAATTAAAAAAAATACAAATGGAACATGGTTTCCGTGTAATGAACTACTAAGTAAAACAAGTGAAAGTTTAGTTTTAACAAATGTCTGCCTCAGGGAAGTGTATGGCTTTAAGTTATCTCTTAAATGTGCCTGAATGATGAATGTTTACATTTTGCTCTTGGTGCTGAAAAGCTCCACAAATCAGCAGTCACAACATGTACATTTTGCAAAGCTGTACAAAATAGCATTGATTGTTAAATCTTCAGACCACAATATTGCACTCACGCACCAGGAGGTACTGCCTTGTGAAAAACACAGCTTGAATTTCAAACACGGGAAGAAGCGCTCCAAATGCAAGAATTAGCTTAGACTGGAGTCAGTCTCAAATGACACATTCAATTAACGAACAGCGATAAGCGTCAAGCCAAAAAAAGGTATACGCACATTTGCACACGCACACATACACACACACATTCACCCACATATATATGTATATATAAACAGCTGGCTTTTGTCGTTTGACATGAATATCCATTACTGCCCTGCTGTGTGCCTTATGTGTCAGAACAATGACAGAGTGTCTCATAACTCACAAAGAGTAATACAGATTCGCTGTGGGTTTGAAATGTAATAAAGACTCTATATGTAATGTGTTGACTACTTACTCACTAGGGCTAATTAATCCTTACAATGTATAAACGTCTTTAATATTAAACTGTCCATTATTTCTGAAATATTTTGCACATTAGCTGAAATAAAAGCATATCTGGTCTGCCCTTGTGTTATGTTGTTATTCCTTTAAAAATGTTTTTTTTTTTCTCAGTAAAGAATGGCAGTTTCAGATATAACCTTTGATCCTTCATAGTAAAATCAAGGCCTCTTTTTCACCGGTACATAGATTTAATATTTCCATTTTTTTCTCTCTTTCTCTCTCTTGTTTAAGTTCTTTTAGGGAATGACAGACATGCTGGGACAAATATGATACAGTCCTTATGGTGGTTCCATTAATCTTCTTTATCAGCCTGAAATACTCGCCATCACTGCCTCTTTCATTTTTCTCTTTAAGAACTGTTCTTACAAAGTTAATATTACATTAAAAGGCAGAAAAGGTCCAAAAATTAAAAAGAGGAAACAAAATTAAGATCAGTATCATAGTTCATTTGTTGGTTGTTTGTGTGTAGTTTGCTGTTCTTATGGTAATGTTACTGTGTTCAACAGAGTTTAGCAGTCAGGTGATCTGATTGTTTTAGTATCTCTGTGCTGTACATGTCCAAGGCATGATTTACTCGAATCATCTCGCTGTTGTTGAGCTTCAGCCTATGCTTTAGCATACAAGAGAAAAGGTCCAGCTGGGGCTTGCCAGGTGCAGATGGAGGGGCTAGGCGGTTAATCCGATCCCTAATGTCCAGTAGCAAGAGCATAACAGATGAGGATGAGTAGAACTGAGTTCCTTGTGTGTACGATTGGTTAACCTGCTGCACAGCACTACGGAGCAGGTCAGCATTAAAGCGCAGGCTGTAGCCAAACACTTGGATATCAGATATTTTTATATAGATCTGGCGCTTGTTGGGGTCTCCAAGATCCACTGGGCCCTGTCCTGTGTCATTGCGTAGGCCAGTTGGGACCTTAGCACGGCTACGCAGATAGATGTGCACTGTCTCAAAAAAGGTCTTCCACCGGTTGCCCAGCAGGAGTGTCCAGTTGAAGCATTGCGAGTTCTGCAGTCGTATTTTTTCCCAGCGTGGATAACCATGTTCACCAAAGGGCATACTCCAACCTTCTGAGTGGCTACCACTGAATGGGTTGACATAAACAAAGAACATGGGGTCAATACTGCTATTTCGCATCTGGCAGATCTTCATTGACAGACCGATTATCATATGGAGGTAGTCCATCCGGTTTTTGTTACTTTTGAGAGTCAGGGACATGCGCTTACGCCATCGAGGGTCAAAGAATGTCTCCAGGCGGATCTCATTACTGATGAAAGTAGTATGAATGTACAGTCGCGAATCCATTTTCTGTAGCAGGTATTTTAATTCCAGGTCCTGAAAGTCCAGATCAGTTTCAAAGCTGATGAACTGCTCACTACGTTCTGAGTCCACATTCTGGGGCTCACAGCGACCACGGTATAGCTTGTAGCCTTTGTTGCAGGAGCCACATTGTGAAATGTTGGCTAGACTGCACATGGCACAACTGTTGTTGCCTCCTATGACACATGGGATGGGTCGTTGGCACAAGGTGACACCTGTGTGGCACACACACGTCCTTTGGCTCTCCAGGAAGGTCCCCCAGAACCCATTCTCATTGCAGTAGAGGAAGGACTGAACCCTGTTGAGCCATTGCATCACAGACCTAGAAAGGGATGAGAAAAAAAATACTTGGGATAGAACAGTAGTCAGATGGAATGTTAAAAACCAAACTTTTCAATGTACTCTTAAAGGATAAGTGCATGATTTTTTCCATAATTAATTTTGTCTGCTCACCATAATGTCTGTGAATCTAGAACCTGGTTTATTTTATTAATCTGTGCTGTAGACCTCCTCTGTTGTCCAGAACTATTAAAAACACATCAGTGTGCCACACTGCTGAACTGGGTGACACCTTTCTTCCTCATGAAATTTAATCTACAGATCTCAAGTTCAATAAAAACTATAATAAAAAAACAAAAATCAATGAAATACTTTGTAAATGGTTGGCACAATTGTTTATGTGAAACATACATAGTCAGAATATTAAGGAGACAGGACAATTTCTTCCCTTCAAGAAGGAGGAGTTACATTATTTCCCTCAGGTGGAAGGGATTACTTGCTATTCTTATCTTGTCTCTTCCCTCCCCTTCAGGCATCTTTCCTTGTCATCTTGGCAGTTCTGAAGCTTCATTTCTGAGGATAGCAGGTGAATTCTGAATCTTGATTTTTTTTTTTAGATGAGAGGGTTAGTCAAGGTTAGCTTGACATGTTAATGAACCTAAACATTAACTATGATGGATGACACCGTATTCTCAGTAGCCACTTAGCTCCCAAGTTATCCCCAAAAGGAGCCCAGGACATATGACCTATAGAGGACAATTGCTGCACATTCTTTAATCCTGTCAATTTATGCTTCATAGTGAGGATGGGATAAATAACCATTATTATTTCTATGACCACATATTCCCACACCATCCCCCAAATATTTAGGCTTTCAAGGCCTGTATTTTAGGCATTGCAAACATCAGTTTGAAGCACATACCCAAGAGCTATATTTATTTGTCCTTTATTTGCCCTCATAAAACTCATTTGCTGAACATGATGTTTACACATTGCGGTCACAGAATGGCTGTAATTTAATTCAGTGTGCAATCTGTAAATTGTTGTGCTCTTGATTTCAATCACTCCATGTAATGGGGTCACTTCAGTATACTCCTTATACTTAATTTCAATATACTCCAATACTGGAGTATACTCCAATATACTCAATATACTCCAATACTATATTGTTCACATAGTATTTAAGCATCCACATTTCTTCTATTCTTTGTTCCCTTTTTCACACACAGTCCAAATATATTCATCTTCCTCCCCTTTCAATTGAATGTCTTGTTGGAAGTTGTTTATAAAACTGATGTTATATCAGTAACTCTAGAGAACAAACAAATGCATATATATATATATATGGTTGCATCTTTCTGTAGGACCACTGCATGAAAACAGATTGCAGTTAGCTCAATGGTTAGCTCAGTGCTAACCATATTGCATGGACTATGAATCACATGAGCTTTATGTTTTATAAAGCCCATGTAATACAAAGTAACAGCCCAAAGAAGGACATCTCGCACACTGAGTAGCCCTACATATTATGTGCAGCCTGGATAATTTTCTGTATAATTATAGGTTTTTCCGGAAACTCTAATTGTTTAGAAAATTTTTCAATATGTGACAAATCACTGACACGTTCCAAAGAACATATTGCATCTTCATATGTGTTGTTTATCTCCTATAGATGAAGTCTACTTTCTCCAATTAATCTGCAGCCATTTCCTTAATTTAGTCTGCCTGAATTTTGCCAACTCTCTGACTGGCAAAACAATTATTTTGGATGAGTCTCATGGTTAGGTGTCTCTGTAGACAAATGTAGATTGCATTCAGATGCTTATTCAAAGAAAATGCTTTCGGTTTTGTTATATGAGATAATACTTGTGAATTTATTTTACATAAATAACTTGCAAATATTAAAAGTTATTTCATAGTGGGTCCTAAACATGGCTGTGACACACTGGAGGTCCAAAGATTCAGGTTACTGTAGAATACATAACATTTTTCAAACATGGATACACCTTGTTATTTATAAATAAATAAATACATAAATAAATAAATAAAAGTTGTTGCTTCATTGGAAATGGTATAAAAAATAGATTAGTTTCACAGGTGCCACAAATATAAAACTATTCCTGTTATTTTTTTTATGGTCTATTCATTATTACATTGGACACAGGCCCAGTCATAATGATCCCTCCTTTGAATTTATTTGCAATAACTGTTGAAATATCCAATATCTGAACTCGAACATGTTCTATCATATAACTGCCTCACTCAGCAAGCTATTTTAGTGCATCATGCAGCTAGTTTTATTTTTGCCTTATCTTGTTTCCATCTAAAACAATGGCTTTGCTTCGATTTGCCCTAGGAAATTAAATGAAAATACATTGGAAAGGATGCTGTTTGTTTTCATGAACACTTTGTGTTTGTAATGGAGCAACAAACATTTTCGGTATTCATATAACATACATAGCAGCTCCCTCTCATGTAGGAGCATAAAAAAAACCCAAAAAAAGAAAAGAGAGAAAGAGTAAATCAGAGCTGAAGAATGGAATTACAACCACCGGAAGAAAACACAAGAAGTCAGATGGGGCACAGACATTTAGAAATGGCATCTAATGGTATCAATAATGTCAAAGAGAGCCATAGCCTTGATGAGTCTGTGTGACTGGATAGCTATACTAAATACAAAAATGTGGTTGGGATATGTATAAGACAAACTGTTAGAAAAAAGAAAGTAATTGTAGACATAAGTAGTGTCATGGCAAAATCAAGACAGATTAGGGCCAAGTAATTCATCATATGGAGGATGCATTCATATTTGTAAATATGCTTGACTTTGAACATGAATAATTAAAGCCAGTGCAAAGCCTGGATGCAAATGATTTGGCAGGGAGTGAAGCTACTTCATATCTGTCACTATTAATCATTTATGCCAAAGACAACCTGCTATGTTCATTCTACTTGAAGCAAACTGCTGTGCTCATTACAGGAAATGCAATAGCAAATCCAATAGAGTTCAGCTATAAAGTTTCAACACAGTTATTGCAGTGAATGTTTACAACAGGAATTTATGATACTTGTAATGGATGGAAACACTGTGGTGAGGTAAACCTAAACAAAAATGATACGGTGGTGATACGCAAGTGTTATTATGACCAGCCGTCAATGCATCTCATCTGGTACCTCTCTTTCATTATTTGTCGGCTGATGTAAATATGTTTATTGACTGACCTTATAAAATATGTGCTGGTGAATGGGAACCATGGATTAAAACTTAAAATCACTTTTGAAGAAGTTTATCTTGATAATGCAAGTTAACATCATAATAATTAAACCCAGTAACGGCTAACTTCCTCTTGTTCTATTTTGTGTTTATTATTCAGTGTGACTGAAAGTGTACTAGAACTACAGTATCACAATATGGAGGCCCTGTTAAGGCTGTATGTAAGAATTAAAATGACTAGACTATTGACGGGTTTCTGCATTAACAATGCCTTATCATTGAATGCATATTGCAGTACCTCTACTTTTAAATGCACTAACACTGTGTACAAGATAAATGAAGATAAAAAAAAAAAAATAAATTACTTATTACTTGAGTTCATGCTTACCTAGCATTCTTAACTACAGCAGATAACCAAGAGGCAATATTGTATGGCAACAGCTTTTAAAAAATTTCTTTTTGTAAAAGACCGTGTTAACCATTGCAGAAGCATGGTACAACCACAGCCTTATTAAATGTATCAGCCTTCTTAGTAAGCATCCGGTTCTAGTGCTTCTTCATTGTTTTATGTTTCATTGTGTGCAGTTCAAATACCAATACTACACTCTTGTTATTGTTGTTATTAAATTTAGGGGATGATTTCACCCACCAAGTTCTCCATCATCCTTCTTATCTTGGTTACCTTGACTCTCCTGTCAGACCCATTTATTTCTCCTAAGGTACAGAACCTAAAGGATAAGGCTGGTCATTTTCTATATTATAGTTTTGTTTTGTTTTTTTTAGCAATTTTTTAAAGAGAATAAAACTGACAATGAACTGCCTCTACTCACGGTTAATGTCTGTCAGCTGTCAGTCCTGGATTAGCTTGTTTGTCTGTGTGATAAAGCTCTGTTGTTGTTAAAAAAGGATTCAAAACACATTAGAGAAACAAACCAGAGCACTGGACAATGTTTTTTTTACTATAAATCCCCAGACCCAACTATGTTGTGCCAAATGTTCCATGCAGCAATAATTTCTTGAAGCTAGCATGAGTCAACTGTGCATGTGCAAGATTTTGTGCGAGCTCTCAGCTTTGTTTACATTCTGCTAGCTACTCGTGCTCAGCTCTTGTGTATGCTAATGAAGAAATACATCACGCAGTGCAGCGCTATGCTTCCCTGACGTCTTTTCAATCCTTTTTGAACAGCAGTGGAGGTTTATAGCACAGATGAATAAGCTACTGATGAAAATTAACTGGAGGTAGAGACATTTCACTGTCAGCTTTGGTCTCTGTATGGACATTGCTGAAAATACTATTAATAGAAAAAAATGACCATCCTTATCCTTTGAAGTCTAAGATGTAAAGGTTAATAAGCAAGTAAGATAGTGCAGACCCTGGTCAGCCACTGTGTTTCACACACCACACACCACAGTCAGTGAGGTAAGCCATGATCCCAGCAACCACCAGGACTTTCACATGCATAGCACCAAGTATTTCTCCGAGCAGAAGAGCCTGGATGGTTTTAAAACCAGTGGAGAAGTCAATGAACATGATTCTCACAGCACCTCTCCAAGTGGGAGTATGCACAGAGTAGCAGGTGGATGACAGTGTCATCCTTCCAATTGTTGCCCTGATGTATGAACTGGAGGGGATCCAAGCAGTCTCTCACAAGAGATCTGGCCTGCTGTCATAGAACCCTGGTGTGTCCATTCTTGGACACTGGGGCTAGGAGAGATGCTTTTCACATCATCATCAGGACACTCTGCAGTCTCTCTGACAGGCTAGAAATATGCTGGAAGGCCTCCCTGAGATGATTGGCACACACATTGAAAATACCTGGGTTGAAGCTTTATGGGACTTCAGCTTTACTTCAACTGCCTGATCCTTTGATCAGATGTTATAGGCTGCCCAAACGAGAGGTGAGGGTTGGAGTCCCTGTCGGTGATGGAGGACACTTTCAGGGACAAGGGGAAAGGCAGGTAGACCATAATGGAATGACAGCATAACTGACGGATGCCTAGGGCAAACTCACAAATAAGTTATAAAACACAAAATTCGAACACTTTAACTCTTCCAGTACAGTTAAATATTGACCAAATTATCATGGGTTTTCATTACAAATGGACATAAGCTCAAACAGCAAGATGAGGAGACCTTGGGTGAAATTAATATAGCGGTAAAAAAATCTGTTTAGAATCCCTCTGTGAGCTACTGTGTAGACTACTTATGCCCCACTTGCGCATGTACGCAAAGCATACTCACATGCATGCAGAGATGATGAAAACAAATAAGTCCTCCATCTCACACAAGCAAACAAATAAGCATGACACTCTTATTTCCAGTGCCATCAAGCGCCCTTGATGTGTATTCTGTGGAAGAGGACGTGCATACTGCGACTCTTTGATAACACTTCAGAACAAACCTTTGCCAACTCTCACACACAAATGTGGGTGTGCTCCTTTTCTGTCAGTGATAGTTGACAACTACTCATTTTCAAACCACTTAAATGAATATTTTACTGATTGTGCACTACATGGAACTGTTTTAGGGGTGTTTCACGTGGCAGCCAGGAACTTTGCATATTTTGCATAGTGTTTCTTGAAATTTGCTAAATGGAAATCCTGACAGTTCAGGCAGTGCTGGCACCATGGCACATCTGCAGCAAGACTCTTAAGCTGCAGCTGTAGTAGGTGGTGACAGATGTGTGCAATGACCTATCAAGAAAACACCCACTGCTACATTTTCTTTTCAGACTGCAATGTGAAATACAAGACTGAGCAATAATGTGTTGGGCATGTGCAAGCGTCAGCACTAAGGTGACTTGATGGACAGAAACAATAGAACCATACGCTGAAATATATAATGGATGACATCCCTACTGTGCATGTCTCAAGAAGCAACAATCAAAATAAAGCCTCCCTACATCATCTCAGAGGAGAAATTTTATTGAAAGATGTCACTCTGTGGGATACATTTTCCTGTACTTGGGAAAGCAAATATCCAAAAATATCCATACCAAAAACAACACTTTTAGCTTATTTCGCTGAATAAATGCACATCATGATGTGGAGGTTATATTTCTACCCACCTCTCCCTAGGCATCTGGTGGTTGGGGTTATGGTGACAGCGGATACTGAGGCCAAAGAGCTTGCGTGCTGTGCGCTGGATCTTGAGCCGCTGGATCTCCAGAGAACTCTGAAGGAGCCTGTAACGAGCCTGCAGGTCCCAGTCGCTGCCCCACAGGAGATGTACACTGCTGATGGGCAGAAAGTGAGTGGAGGGCAGTCTCTTCAGGAAGGACTTGAACTCATCTGGATAACAGAGAGGAATGGGATGGAATGCAGGCAGAGAGTGTGAAGTAGTAGTGAGAAAAAAGTGAAAAAAGGCAAATGAAAGATAAGTACAAGAGTGGAGTTATTTGACTTATTTAAATGTTTAGAACGTGCTGTATGGCAAGCCGTTCAGGAAATAAATGGAATGAAAATATTGATTGAAACTTGTATATATTGATTGAATAGCTGAATATATGAATGAAACTTGAGAATATATAATAATAGCTTTTATTTCCTGAACGGCTTGCCATAGTGCTGAACCTGGGAGAAAGTACTGATGCATAGTCACATAGAACAAGACAAGAAATATTTCAGATTCTTTGAAGATGTTGTATCTCTCAGAGGTCTTTTAGTCCACATGTAAGTTAATATCTAAAATTACCACTTAATGTAATAAAAACCAATAAAAAATGCTTATTTATTCTAAATATGGGACTGTGATAACACAGTGCTAGTTTTCTTTTTGTGTTGTTTGTGTTTTTAGCATTTGCTGAGAATTTAGGCCTTCAGAGCAGTTAGCACCCTCTTAGTCTGTGCTCCCACACAATTAGGCAAGAGCACCAAAACTGTCCCCAGCAGTGATGATGATTGTCCTTATGGTTCTTTTGCTGCCTGAAATAATTCTTGATTTTCCCCTGCTCAGATAATTCATGAACCCATCTCCCCGAGCCTTGTTTTCAAAGCTAGCTCAAATTTCTAGCAACACTGGGCATGAAGGTGTTACTAAAACCCCCAGCGGCAAATACACAAGGACAAGAAGCCTTTTATTTTGCATGCTAATTGAGAAAATACTGAGCCATGACTCAAAGCAGCTCATTATCTCTGAAAATAAATTTAAGCAGTTTTAGAAATAATAGAGTGAACAATTTAATGGCCTAAATTTCATCTTAGTGAAATCAGCAGTCATGTTAAAGTTATTTTTGTGTAAAGCAAAAATAACCGTCTCCACTCTGAGTCCACACTTTTCTTTATCTTATCATGGTGTAGTGAAATCCAAAGTTATACACATATGGTAAATCTAATTCACCTATTGTATAAATTCCTAGTGGTAAATCACATTTGTTTTGGGGGAAAGAAATTCTTGAGAGGATGCATCTCGACGTACAAAGTCATGCCAGAATCCATGTACAGCCCTCTCCAAGACAGTTTAACAGCATTAATCACAGAGTTGAGAGCGCTTTTCCAGCCCCAGCTGAGAACTGTCAGAACTTCCATGGCTCTCCTCCAAGGCATGTCAGAGCTCTCTTCCCCCTTTTCCTCAAAGAAGCCAGATTCCTTCTCCTCCCGTTTTGAACCTGCCATATTGCTCCACCCAGTCTTTAGAGCTGACAGCAGTGTTGGGCAAGTTCATACTTCACAGGAGCCAGCTCAAAGTTCAGTTCATACACATTAAAATGAAATAGTTCATGTTCATAGTTCACAATTGTGAATTTTGAACTGTTGTATGTTCACAGACCCAAAACTGAACTAGTTCATGTTTGTTTCTTCCATTTTAAAATGAGTTGCTCTGAGCAGTAGAAAACATTTTCAGTAGAACCTCCTCCTACTCATCAATCCCTAGCCCACGATAGCTGTGTTACCTGAATCATCACTTGCACTGACCATAATTGGGGAAAAAAAGCTGAAAGCAGCATTGCTTGCAGTGCACTATGCACCATGTATAGCGCACACTTTTTTTACTCATGCAGGCTTGCCTATGTTATGCATGACACCTATGAAATAAAATAACAGGGCTCCAGTATTTTGCTTATTGCACACTTCACAGTGGCACTCAAAAGAAATGAAGAACAAAGCCATTCATTCCTTTCTTGATACAGCTTCCACAGGATCCACATACAGTAGTCCCTTGAAAGACTCTTATCTCGAGTCACCTAGTACACCTTATCTAGAAATTCCACTTTCCACTATGTAATTCCACTTTATCTCTTGTGCCATTGCATCTCCATTTGCTGACTCCCAGACATAGACAGTAATCACCAAGGTTTTACCAAACTTAATGTTTTCCAATCAGCAGGTTTAAAAACCTACACTTAAAAAGTCCATGCAGCTACAAAAAAAATACAGAACGTGGGATGCAAGCAAACAAACTAAGAGCTCGCGCTCTTGTATCCTCTTGCATGTATGTTTTTCAAATAGATCAGTCAGAACTAACAACACATGTCGGGAGAATATACAGTACATGTTCAGCCAACATTTGGCAGTTTTTTGGACCTATGCACAGTATAAAGGTGCATAATCAGTGAGAATGTTAGATGGTAATATCAGTTGTGATTAATTAAATCACCTCTTTTCCTTCTTTTGAAGAAGCACCTTTAAAGGTCAAAGAAGTTTCTACCAAGAAGAAAGCTGAGGCTTTGTACTGTACATAAATGCTATGAGCGGAAGAAAAGTGTCCTGAAAGGATATGTCTCATTTGTTTTTAATTATACCTTGGCAAAATACTTTATTTACCCAACCAGAACTGATACAAGATGAGCATTTTTTTCCGCATGAAGGACTTATATCAGTGCTTACTTTGCCAACATGTTACGGGATATTAACAGCGGTTTTATGAATTTGAACAGGTTAAGTTGTGATATGAAATTAGTGTAGAACCATAATGCTTTATCCACTTGTTCATGCCACACACTTTTGTTTTTTTGGGGGGTGGGGTTTGCTGTAGTTTTTTGCTATTTTGCCCTACTTTTATACTCCAAATTTGATGTGATAACAGTCAGAGTCAGTAGACTCAGACACAATGACTTGTCACATAACAGCCGGGCACTGGCTGTACTTTTTTTTTCCCACAGTGTCCCATTTTCTGATATATTGCGTTTCCATTTGCATTAAATGAAAACGGAAAAAAAAACTGTAATAAAGAGAACATTTCCTGAAATGACATTCAGAAGTTTGACATATGAGTTGCCATACTTTTTGCATTCCACAAAAAAACAAACACAAAAATAAATAATTAAATAAAAATCCACATAGTTATATAACAAAACAGGTTATTTGTCAGTGTTTTCTGATATATTGCTGCTATAAAAAAAACTTAGTTGAGGTTAAGGAAAGATTACCATGATAGTAAAAAGAGACCAGTGTCTCCGACCAGAAGTGAAGCCCAGTCTCTGGTGTCATTTGATGGCCATGACTTTTGCAGTACTATGAACATTTCATATTACTTTCTGCAGTGAACATAAAAAGGGTTTTGATACTATTAATTATGCATATTTGATAAAGAGTAATAAAGGTGTAAGCTAACAAATGATGCTTTTAAGGATCTTCAAACATAAAGAAAATTATAGCAGTAACTGCCTGGGCTCTGCATGTATATGTTTTAATAATATAAACTTCAGAATTATGATTCCTAGAGCTAGCCCACGCAGCCTGAGATCAGTACACCACCCGACTTGCACTGCACCCGACCCCAGTTCCTTTCCCTGCAGGTCCGTAGAGCAGTGACACATTCCTTCGGGCTGTGCCCGACTGGGCCCCATGGGCCAAGGCCTGCCCACCAGACGCTTGCCAGTGAGCTCCCCTCCCTCGAAAGGAGCCAGTTGGGGTGGGTCAGGCATCTTATCAGGGTGCCTCCAGGGAGCCTCCCTTTGGAGGTGTTCTGGGCACGTCCATCTGGTAGGAGACCCTGGGGCAGACCCAGAACACGCTGGAGAGATTATATATCTCATAAGGCCTGGTAACACCTCGGAATCCTGCCAGAGGCGCTGGCACACGTCACCGGGGAAAAGGACGTCTGGACTACCTTACTGAACCTGCTGCCACTGTGACTCGAATCCAGATAAGCAGTAGAAAATGGATGGAATTAAGATTACAAATCATATTGGAGTTATTCCCTTGCAAAATAGCAAAAAAAAAAACCCAAAACAAACAAAAAAAAAATTCTTTATATGTTAATTCTAAATGCAATGCTTTTTCCAGCTTACCTGAGTTCTCAAAGTCTTTATAAGAGGCAGCCCATGACTCAGACATCCCCAACAGGGTGTTCTCCATGATCTGGATGTCGGTGATGGGACAGTTGCATTGGGGATACTCCTCGGCGCACTGGCAGATGCACTGGTTGTTGCGACACACATACTCTCCCTCCCCATTGCACATAATGTAGCTCAGAGCTGACTGGACAAATTTCTCCTGCAGGTATTCTGGGAAAATGACCTGAAGACCTGAAACAGAGAAGAATGGGAGATTTTAGCGAGACATGGCGTGTTTAACAATTCTCCATTGAATATGAATGGAACAATGCAAATTGTATCAACAAAGACCCAGAACTGTTGTGTACCTTAAGACTCATTTGCAGGAAGAATGGGACAAAATTACACCTGACACACTTAATCATTTGGTGTTCTCAGACCCCAAATGTCTTTTATGTGTTGTGAAAAGGAACGGCAACATCACACCATGGTAAACGCTCTGCTGCCCCAACATTTGTGGAATGTGTTACAAGAATCAGAATTGAAGTGAGTGTTTATTTGGAACAAAGAATCAAATTAATGAGGTATCATATCAAACAATGTGCTGCTATATTGTTTTCAATGTAATACAGGGCACAGATGATTTAGAAATCAGTATTTTCACTTTTAATTTTGATTTTACATACTGTTCCAACTTTTTCTCATTTGTGGTTGTAGAACTGAAGCTTGGGCTGCTAACAGTAAAAGCTTTCCCTTCAGTCTAGGCCCTGGAAAATAAATCCCTAACTCTACAAGCCAGTGAATTGGAAAAGAACTAAATAGATTTTTCCCTTCTAGTTTTACTTGAGCACAAACAGTGCTTCAGCAGAAAATATGCAACCAGAAAGCAGAACATAACATGTTACTGAATGATGAATGATTGCATTACTTTTTCTCCTCATAGTATATATTATTTTCACCCAACGGTGAAAGTAGGAATCCATTTATGCAAAATCGGCATAATCTTGCTGAAATTAAAGGGAAAGTAAGCACATAATTTCATACTGTACACATGAATCATTTTCAGTCAAATGGTATTATAATGGTATTATTGTGACTGTGGCAATTAATGCTCACCCACGACATATGCAAACTGATAACTGTGAGTCATTTAGAAGTAGATGAAGGTTTTAATATGTGCCAGGCAAAGGACAACTTCAACATCCATTATTCTGCTGACAGCCTTTGAATAAAAGTAACCCATAATGTGTTTGGGTAATTCATGGGCCAATGCTTGTCAATATTAAATTCATTTTTGTGGCTACCTGTCAAAATTATATAATCATCACTGAATTCATATCAGACTAAACAAACCTTCCTTGTAATATGTACTTCTTTTTGAATATCCCCTTCTCTCCATCTCATCGGAATCACTGGACATACAGTAAGTGATGAAGGGAAAAGAAGGAGGGAAGGATGGGGGAAGTAAAGCGAATGGATGGATCCTGTCTGACCACAGAAGAGTTGGGTTGCACAGGGCTTTTTCTCCATCAGGCCTGTCTGCAGCCCCTGGATCCAATATTCATTTAGCTTGATGTATTCCTGGGCTTGAAACTTTAATGTGATTTGTGGGAGATTCCAGATGGCAAGTTCACGGATCAACGCTGCTCGCTCACCGTGCTGATGCCAGCGGCTGGATGAACAATAACACAGAGTGTCTCAGCCTTCCTTCTTTACCTCTTCTGTCTAACCATACCTCATACGCCCACTGCTACCATCAACACATACACACAAACAGACATTTCTTTTTTCTGATTCCACTGTGTTGGTGCAGGGAGACCATTCAGGATGACACTCATCTCAGCATTATCACTCTTGCAATCTCTTGTTTTCCACTCTCTTTGTCTCAGTTCAGTCTCTTTCCATGCCTCTCTCTACCTTTTACTCTGTCTCTGTACACATCTTGTCTGTCTTACTTCATTACACTCACTCCCACTCCCACCGCATTCATGCACATGCCCCTTGACTCGTCCCCTATCATCTGTTGGCTCTCATTCACTCACTCTCCTCATTCCTGTTTCTTCACCTCATCTGCTCCGCACTACATGTCCCACCGAACCCGTACCCAAGTATTAGAAATTTGATGTCTTGTCCTCCTACTTCAGTATAGAAATGATGTCATGTAATGAAAGTAAATCCATCAACATTTGTTAGTGCGTTGGGGAATGAGTGGGAGAATTGGAGTCCTCAGGGCAAAAATGAAATGAGAAAGTAATCAGAGTAACAGCATTTTTCTGTGGAACTTTCCCACCTTTGCTGTCTTAGTACAGTAATGTGAAACTACTGAGAATGACTGGCCAATAAAGCTACAGTTATATGTATATAACTGTATATATACAGTATATATGGCTGAGAATCAGGGATTTGTTGAGAAAAACACTAGACACTGAAGTTGGGAGTTACACTTACAGTACAATCATCAAGAACTGCTGATGAAATGAAAAGTACATTTTGGAATTCCCATGTAGCCATTTGATAACCTCCAACTTCATACTCTGTCAGTGCACATAATTCCTTGCAACCCTCATGCTTCGCTCGTGCTAAATAAATAGCACCTCAAAATGGCAGTTAATCGCTTTGCATACATCAAAGGCTGATGTATTTTCTTCACGTACATTGGAGGATATAGGTCCTCAGATTCCATGAATGCTAAAAACAGACTCTGCAGCTGTGACTTTGCGTATTTTATGTTGCTTTCCAGAGTGCTCTATTTTTACATGGTGATAGACGAGGAGTGTAGGCCACAACTGAGCCTTGTAACTGCCTTGGCAAGCAGTTGCATGCTTATTGCAATGCCACGCTCCGCCTCATAAGTTACAGTTTCATTAAAGATTAATTGACCATTGTGTGGCCGCAATTTCGCAAAATAATCATTACTTAATCCACTGGTGCAATAAACTGCATTACTTCAATGGGGGTATTAAATTACCATTGGACGTTATCTTTGCTGCCATGATACAAAACCAAAGACCTCTGAACTGAAAGATGGTCTGTTTTTCCTCAGTCCACCTGGCCTGCCCAGTCTGTCCTGCTCATCCTCAGAAGTAAATACAGAAAAGGGCATATAGTTTTAAGATTTGCTGTGATGGTCCATTTCACAGAAGAGCTCCTCTTCTAAATCTTCGAGGTAAAGGTGCAGTTAAAGCAGCTATTTATCCACTCTCCATTTCTTTGCATAAAATGCTATGGCTCTCTGAATGTACTGTATGTGTGTTGGGACCAACAGAGGTGACATATTCCAGTGGAGCTACTCTCAGTTCTCAGAATATGTTAGCATTTTTTAATGTTCTGAATGAGGTGTACTTAGCATTCAAATGAATAAATGTGTTGCTGTATCTGTGCTGAATAGATTATTGTAGATTATCATAAATGTTTTAAGTATTCTAGAAGGCAGCAGCTTATGTCATCAAACAGGATAGTCAACTCCAAATTTTGAATTATAACCACATTGTGTATGTGAGAACTGTTGTTCAGGATAATTAAATCATTATTTTTATCTCAAATATCTGCTCATGTCTTCAGTACAGCACAAAGGACGTTTGCAGATATTTTTTGAGTGCTCTATTGATGTTTTTATGATTTTTTTATAGTACGCTGATATTTAAAGCATGTATAAATCTGAACTGCAAAACAACAGAGATGCTGCAAATCCCATTTCCTAGAACATATTAACATACAAGTGGCTACATGTCCATATGCGATATGCCCCACTGCATCTGTGTGAAACAGAAGGGACCGCAATGCATTTCACACAGTGTCTCTGTACAGCACTAGCTCTGAAGAACCACACATTCATTGTGTTAACACAAAAGGAAGCAAGAATGCAGGTGCAGTAATCACTGTAAAAGCAAAAATTATATATAAAATGGTCTTGGCATTTAGGGCTTGCTGCTCTTGCCTTCTAAAAAGAGGGAATTGCTGAAATTGCATGTTGAAGCAATTGCTGGACTGAGGAGGGCGGGCAGTTTAGAGGCAGATGAGCACTCCATGGTGCTGAGTTATTGCCAGTTGTGCTGCACACTGGACATAAACACAGAAAATGAGTGAAAGAAAAACTGCCTTCAAAGTCTGTGCAAGTTGAGGGAGTAATTTAGCAAAGTACTCTGAAACACATTGAATATCAGCTCTACTGTAAGCTATGACATCAGTGTGTACCTAGAGATGTGGTTGCTGTTGGCTGCTTGTGCTCTTCAGTTGAACTCTTCAAGCTGTTCCATCATGTGTTGTTATGTGCCCCTGCACAGCAGTAGCAGCAGGGCCTCGGATGGTGAGATCTTGCACTAGTGTCACAATTCATGCATATGCACACACAGCAACACATCCATTCTTGTTCACTCACACACGGATACCTGCTGCAGAAATCACATTTTACAAGAACTCTTGAGAGGGGAATGAGAGACATATGACATGCTCTGACATTTCCATTGCAGCTGTAAAAGATAAAACTGCCCTCAAAGTGTCACGATGTGCTGTATAAACATCCTTGATCAAAAGGTCAGATTTATCATAAAAACCACATCAAACATCCCTAAATACAGAAATAATATGAATCAGTTGTCCATTAGGAAGTACATACTTGCTTTACAGTAGAGTATGCTAAAAAAATCTTCTGATTCATAAGCAAACTGCACAGTTAAACAAAACCGAGAGCCAGATTTTACGTACAGTAAACCAGATCTTTTGTGGATTAACTATTTAGCAATGTAAATACTCAACCTTTTATAAGGTATGTGTGGCACCATGTTATTCAAATGATCATATTCTAATTACACTGCAACACATATGTATTACAGTATTATGCATATGTATTACAGGCTATCAGTTTACTGTAAGAAAAGTATTTGATGTGAAATGAATTATATATCTTTAATCCTGGTATCATGAAACAGCCAAGTGTTATTTTGACCTTTAAATTATGATGCAACACTCTTACGCATGCATTATAACACTCTAATAATGCAGGCACATTGACTTTTTATAGCCATTAATAATAATCTAACATGTTACATGTTACAAGTGTTTGTAAAAAAAGGGTATTTCTAAGTACAAAAGAATAAAGTAAAGAAACACCCAATCACTTGATGAAACAGATTGTGTCAGTCAGGGAAAGAAGTGGGAATCTATGGCACTTGCAGACATGGCAGCCTGCAGCTGGCAAGAGTGAGTATGAGAAGAAAAAGATTTATGGTTGTGTTGGTCTAAATGGAAACTCA